ATCCACTCACTTCAGCCTCCCAAAGGCGCGGGATTACAGGCTGAGTCACCGAGCCCGGCGATTATGCATCTGTAAATTGGGTTCTTTGCTGTGGGGTTTCCAGGTGACTGTCTTCTCAGAGGAGTCCTCTAGGAAGGCATAGACTCCTTCGTTAAAGGAAGGGGAGTCGCCATGCTAGCATCCCTCCAAGTCTAGTCTGCAGAGTTCCAGTTCTCAGGAGTGCTAATCAGGGCTGTTTGGGGGAGAAAAATGACTCTGTGGGCAAGTAAGGTTGAGAGACACTGAACGTCCAACCAGTTTCTCTCTACATAGCTTTTACATTTGCTGTTTGCTTTGTGAATCTCCAAGAAGTAGTGTTTTCTTGAAACTTACTTGTCAACTGTGCCCAAGTCCTCAAGGGGCAGCTCCGGAGGACCGATGTCCCTTGGAACCCCGCCCGGGAAGGTCTGATTGGGCCTCGGTGGAGTTCTTTTTCAGACACAGGTTTGCTGAGCAGTGAGGAAGAGGCATCCCTGCCCGGCGTGACAGGACACCCTCGTGGGGCGCATCCAGTCTCTGAGTTGTGGGTGGATGCTCCTTGTGCCCTGAGGTGCTGGGGCCCGAGTGGGGCCCTGCCCAGGCGCCGCTGACTGCCCCCCGGTGTCTGACCACAGGACGGGGCACATGCTTACCCACCAGAAGACCAAGCCCTTTGTGTGCGTCGAGCAGGGCTGCAGCAAGAGCTACTGTGACTACCGCTCCCTGCGCCGCCACTATGAGGTCCAGCACGGCCTGTGCATCCTGAAGGAGGCCCCCCCGGAAGAAGAGTCCTGCGGGGACTCCCCTCACACCCACGAGACGGCCGGCCAGCCGCCCACCAGCGGCCTGCGCTCACTGGGGCCCCCAGAAGCCAGGTCCCCCGGCTCCCTCCTGCCCAGCCGTGACCTCCTGCGTTGCTTGGTGAGCAGCATCGTCCACCAGAAGCTCCCGTCTCCCGGGCCTGCCCCGGTGGGGTCTGTGGACAGTGAGGGGAAGGGCGTGGCCTGCCCCTGCCTCGCCTCCTCGGGAGCCTCCTCCTGTGCCTCCACCGGGACCCCGGCAGCCCCAGGAGGCCTGGGCACTGAGGTTCCCGAGGAGCCTCCGCTCCCATGGAAGGAGCTGAGCACAGACGTGCTCACAGCTGCCCCCTCGAGGGCTGCCGACAGCAGCGCCCCCGACCCTCCGGAACCAGAGCCCCCGCTGCTTCAGCTCCCCTCCATTGCGGAGGGCTGGCCTGAGGGCAGTCCCCTGCCCGCCTGCCTGCCTCTCTACCGAGGCCAGCTGGTCCCTGCCGGCTCCCAGCCGTTGAGCCACAACTTCCAGTGGCTCCGGAACCTGCCGGGCTGCCCCAAGAGCAAAGGCAGCAACGTGTTTGTTGTCCACAAGTCCCCTGTGGCACCGTCGCGGGAGGGCGAGTCGGGCCCTGGGCCCAGCGGCCCCTCCTCCTCGGTGGAGCTGCCGTCCGGCTCGGGGAGCAGCTTGGAGGACCCGCTGCCCTTTCCTCCCGCACCCCTGAAGGCACCCAGGGAGGCCTCGAGCGACCCCAGGCTCGCCGGCGGGGACGACGACCCCTGGGCTTCCAAGAAGGGCAAGTGCGACTGCGACTCCTTCCCGTGGCAGAACCCGGGGGAGCCTAGCCCCCAGGACGTGCAGAAGGCAGGTGGTTTCTCGTCAGATGCCACGCCGATCTTCCGGCAGCTGTTCCTGAAGTCGCAGGAGACTCTGGTGAGCCACGAGCAGATGCAGGTGTTCCAGATGATCACCAAGTCCCAGCGTGTCTTCTCCCATGCCCAGGTGGCAACAGCCTCCTCCCAGCTCCCTGTGCCCGAGGGCAAGCAGGCCACCCCCAAGCTGCTGCAGGGGTCGTGGCCTCAGCAGCCCCCTCCACCGGCGCCTGCCCGTGACTCTCTCCACGTTGGCCCCAGAAACCTGGAGCCATTTGACTCCCCCGCCTGCAGGAGGAAGGCCACGCCCTCGGTTCCCCGAGAGGCCTCGCCTGGCAGCACCAGGCGAGACTCCAAGGGAGGCCCGAAGGAGGCCCCTGCTGCACTGCCCCTTCCAGTGCCGACTCCGGGCCCTTCCGGGAAGCCAGACGTCTCTTCTCTGGCCAAGCAGCTGCGGTCCTCAAAAGGGACCTTGGACCTGGGGGACATCTTCCCCATGGGAGGCCCAAGGCAGACCCAGTCAGGTGGGGATGAGCCGCCCGGGAAGCAGGCCCAGGCAGAGAACGGCACGGCCTCAGGGGCCACGAAAGGTGACAGGGCCCCAGCCTGCTCCCGGGGCAGCAGCCACAGGCTTTTCTCCGGCCACCCCCGGGCCCAGCGCTTCTCGGGCTTCCGGAAGGAGAAGGCGAAGATGGATATGTGCTGTGCAGCCTCTCCCAGCCAGGTGGCCATGGCCTCCTTCTCGTCTGGGCCTCCCGCGGATGCCCCGCTTGACGCCAAGTCCAAGCTGACGATTTTCAACAGAATCCAGGTACCAGCCCCTGGCGCGGCCGGACCCGAGCGAGGTGTTGCCTGGCAGCCATGGCATGTGTTGGGGGCCCAGGCACTGTTTCGTCCCAGCCCGTCCTTAGTTGCAGCTTCCCAGAGGACGAGGTGAAGGTTCAGGCAGACTGTGGCTCCCCCGCCCAACAAAGAGACTAGAATAAGGATGCTCCAGAGCTGCTCAGAGGCTCTGGGCCGCTGTGCCGTTTCACTGAGCTTCTCTGCGGGCCTTCTTGCCTCTCATGCCCTCTGGGACTTGCTCCCTCCCTTCTCCAGCCGGTGTGGAGGCAGAGGCCCTCCTTCCCGTAACACGCCTGTGTGACAGGCCTGTGTGTTTCTGCTGTGAGTCACGGTTTCCACAGGCGCCAGTGGGCACCAGCCACGTGCCCCTGGCTCTGCACGTTCACGAGTCCTTGCCGGAGTGTTGTGCGAGGTCCTGGTCTCAGAGGTTATGACTGCAGCATCCTTCCCAGCATACCACAACTGCCCTTTTTTGAAAAAACGTTTTTGTCATTCAGGTGCCACATGCCACTTAACTCATTGTTTTGAAGGGTACACTTTGGTAGTTATTAGTGCATTCTCAAGACTGTGCAGCCATCACCCCAGAAGGGAAGCCCCATCCCTTGTGTCACCCCAGCCTCTCCAGCCCCCAGCCCCTGGCAGCCTTGGCTCTGCTTTCTGCCTCTCTGGATTTGCCCATTCTGGACATTTCTGGGATGTGGAGTCATGTGGCACATGGCCTTCTGTGGCCAGCTTCTTTGACCTGGCTGACATTCTCACGTTCACTGTGCTGCTACAGTGTGTCGGAGGGTCGGTCCTTCTGATGGCGGGGTGATACTGCCGGGTAGATGGACTTATCTGATTTGTTTGTCCGTAGGTAGGCATTGGGTTGTTTTCACTGTCTGACCATGGCGAATAGTGCAGCTGTGCACACCTTTCTGTGGATCTGTGTTCTCATTCTCTTTTTTTAAGTTGATAGTCTCACTGTCACCCAGGCTGGAGTATAGTGGCACTCATGGCCGCCACAGCCTTGACCTACTGGGCTCAGGCAATCCTTCCGCCTTAGCCTTCCAAGTAAATGGAACTATAGGCGTGTGCTACCACACCCGGCTAATTTTTTTATTTATTGTAGAGACGAGGTCTCGCCCACTTGCCCAGGCTGGTCTCGAACCCTGGGTTCAGGCAGTCTTCTCGCCTCCGCCTCCCGAAGTGCTGGGATTACAGGTTTGAGCCACCATGCCCAGCCTCATTCTCTTAGGTGGGTCCCTAGGAGCAGAATTGCGGGGTCACGTGGCTGCTCTGTTTCGCATTTGAGGAACTGTCAGACTGTTCTGTAAAGCAGCTGCATCACTCACCATTCCCACCCACAGTGTGGAAGACTTCATGTTCTCCGCATCCTCACCAACATTTGCTGTTTGTTTGTTTTTAAAAAATCTCGAGCCATCCTAGTGGTGTGAGGGGTGTCACATTGAGGATTTGGTTTACGCTTCCCCGCTGGCTGGTGACACGGAGCTCCTTCCATGTACTTGTTGGGCACTGTGTACCTTCTTATGAGAAGTGTCCGTTTGGGTCCTTTGCCCATTTTTTAGCTGAATCACTATTTTTTAAAGAGTTTCTTATATATTCTGGTTGCAAGCCCCTTCTGAAGTACATTATTTGCAAATATTCTCTCCTATCTTGTGAGCTGCCTTTTCATTTTATGTATGGTACCATTCGCAGGACAGCAGTTTTTAATTCTGTGGATATCCAGTATGTGTTTTGTCTTTTGCTGTGCTGTCACAGCTAAGAAACCATGGCCTAGTACTTGGGAGGTATACTTCGAGTTTTCTTCTGAGAGTCTTGTAGTGTTAGCTCTTCAGGCCTCTTCACTTCTGATGCATTGGTGCCGATGCACTTTCATCTTCAGGGTGGAAACATCTACCGGGTCCCCCACCCAACGAAGGAAGAGAGCCCAGCTGGATGGTGAGTCAGGAGGCCCCGCCCCCACCCGCAGGTGTTCTCTGGTCTTTGTGTGCTGGCTCTGGGTGGTGGGCTGAATGCTTTCAGTCCTGGCAGGCTGAGGGGACAGCCCCGTCTCAGGGCCATCAAGAGCTGTCAGTGGATTAGAGTTACAAACAAAAAAGAAATAAACAGAACAGCTAGTGACTGGGGACGAGCCTGTCTTCTGTCTTCCTCCTGCCTTGTCCACCCACAGTAACCAGCACAATGGGGGCCCTGCAGACAGGACAGAGCCGCGGAACACTTACGTCTGCAAGAACTGCAGCCAGATGTTTTACACCGAGCGTGGGCTCAACAGCCACATGTGCTTCCACAGCGACCAGTGGCCGTCGCCACGAGGGCAGCAGGAGCCACAGGTGAAGGGCACGAGCAGGAGCTCCCGTGGCCACGGGGTGTCTGCCGGGCCTTGGGGAGAAGACAGCAGAGCCACTGACCTCAGGATGGAGACACCGTCCTGGTGGCCCGAGCAGAGCAGTGCTGCTCCCTGGCAGGTGCTGCAGGTGCTGCCTTAGACCCTGGCAACTCTCCACTGGGTCCTTGGTGGCTTGGTGGCCTTGCCGCCTGTGCTTGCTCTCACTGTCCCAGGGGCAGCTTTCCTTTCCCTGCCTGCTGTTACTTTCTTTTTTTTTTTTTGAGTTGGAAAGAGCCATTTCTTCTCTGTGTTTAGGCGTTTGGAGCAGAGTTTGGCAAGCCCTCAAGGCAGGTGCTGAGGCTGGAAGGGAACCAGCAGAGTCCCCCAGGGGCCAGGAAGCCCTTGGAGCACATAGCTGCAGCCCCTTCTGGGATCCCCACGGCCACAGTGAACCGACACACAGGTAGCACAACCAAGGTGGGTGCTTGATGGAAAAACCCAAACCAAATGCCACAGAAAATACTGACATCACAAGTACTGGGATGACATACTTCTTCAGTCACTCAGCATCCACTCAGCCCCGCCATGCCCGGCCTATGTGGGGTGGTGCTGGGACACAGGGGTGACCTCAACAGCCAGAGCACTGACTTCCAGGGCTCCTGTCCAGTGGAGGAGACAGACCTGTCCCCAGGCAGTGATGACCCAGAGTGGGCAGTTCTGGGGGAGGGGGCAGAGGTAGCTCCCGATCCAGCCTGAGAGGAGTGGAGGACTTCTCAGAGGAGAGGCTGGGAGAGGAGGAGCATGGCTGGCAGGGAGGAGGGGAGGTCTCATGGAGGTGAGGAGAGCAGTGGGTCTCCCAGAGCTCATCTCTGCTACCTGGGCGCTGGGGGACCCACTGGAGAAGCTCCTGCTGGACTTGGGGACAGGGTGCGTGGACCTGAAGGTTCTGAGTCAGAGATTGTCCCATTGTTGGCTTCACAGGAGCTGTTGTCATTTGAGTTGAACAATTTTTCGTGTTGTGACAATCACGCTATATCTCTGGCCCCCACTCACCAACTGCCAGTAATCTTAACAGCTCCTGTCCTCTGAGTAGGGCCTGTCCTGGGGCAGAAAGTCATGAGAAGGCTCCGAAACCAGACTGTTGCAGGCTCAAGACCACAGGTCAAACCACTGGGAGCTCTGGCTGTGGCCACGCCGGACACACATGGCCAGTCCCTTTTCCCTTCGCGTGCTATCCTGAAGCCCGAGTGGTGGCTTCAGGTGACCTCCTTCCTTCCAGGGACAAGAGAGAGACAGAGAAGAGAGAGACAGCAAGGAGAGTGGCCAGCACCGAAAGCGGAAGAAGCGCCTCCTGTCGAAGCTGCCCGGCACCCGGCCACGCTCTGCGCTGGGGGAGCCAGGCCCTGGGGGCTGCCACCAGAGCTGCCTGCGGGCCCCGGTGTTCCTGGTGGACCGCCTCCTGAAGGGCCTGTTCCAGTGCTCCCCCTATACGCCGCCGCCCATGCTCAGCCCCATCCGCGAGGGCTCAGGGCTGTACTTCAACACCCTGTGCCCCAGAGCCCTGCGGGCCGGCCCCGACCAGCTCATCTGCTCCGGGATTGGTGAGTGACGCGGTGCGGCTCCCGGGACCACGGCCACTCTGCCCGGAGTGTTTGGCCCAGAGGTTGTCCCTGGCCTGGGTGGCCTGATCTGAGGGTCCCTTTGCTGCTCAGAAGTGCCCCAGGACCGATCTGGACCAGCTGCCTTCTAGGTGCTTCGAATGCCACGGCCAGAAAGAAAGCACACAGGCCCTTAGCCTGCCCGTCCGTCTGCCCGCCCTTCTGGTAATGTTCTTCACAGCTGTACTGGCCCGTAACTCACACCCTACACTCATCACCTGTCACAGGTTATACTGTGTGGTCTTCACCCATTGTGCAGTCTGATTCTACAGCATCTCCATCCTCCCCAGAACAAGCCTGTGCTCGCTGGCAGCCACCCCCACTCAGACCCCCCAGGCCCTGGCAGCCACCCATCTGCTGTCTGACTCCGTGGAGTTCCTGGATTTGAGTGCTTCACGCAAGTGGAGTCGTGTGTGTATGCCTGCTAGTGTCTAGTTAATTTCACTTGGCGTAGTGTTTTCAGTGTCTGTCCATATCCGAGCAGGAGTCAGTGCTCCATTTCTCTTCATGACTGAGTAAGAGTCCATTGTGTGGACAGTTTATCTGTTCACCAGTCGTTGGACATTTGGGTTGTCTACACTCTTGGCTGTCATGTCTAATGCTGCGGTGAACAGGTTTCTGTGTGGATTTGTGGTCTCATTTCTCTTGGGTGTACTAGGAGTGGCATGCTGGGTCACATGGTAACTCTGTTGAACTATTAAGGAACTGCCTGACTTCCAGACTGCTTTCCAAAATGGTTGTGCAGTTTGGAACTCCCACAGCAGTGTATGTGAATTCTGATTTCTCCACATCCTTGCCAACAGTTGTTATTGTCTGGCTTTTTTATTATAACCATCCTAATAGATGTAAAGTACCATTTGATTGTGGTTTTGATTTGCATTTCTGTGATACCATAAAATACACGTTTGAGCCGGTCTCGGTGGTTCAGCCTGTAATCCTGCGCTTTGGGAGGCTGAGGTGAGTGGATTGCATGAGCCCGAGGGTTCGAGACCTGCCTGGGCAACTTGGTGAGACCTCATCTCTACAATAAATAAAAAATAAATCAGCTGGGTGTGGTAGCACGTGCCTGTAATTCCGGCTACTTGGAAGGCTGAGGCGGAAGGGTCGCCAGAGCCCGGCAGGTCGAGGCTGCGGTGGCCGGGAGTGGCCACTGCACTCCAGTCTGGGCAGCAGAGTAAAACTCCAACTCAAAAAAAAAAATACACGTTTGGTCTTGGACTTGGTTTTCTGGCATATTCCCAACATCCTTGGGATGACCACAGTGATATCTTGTTGAATACTAATAACTGGCTGGTGGCTGGCAGCCCCTAGGTGACTTCAGGATGGAGCTGATCACCAGAAAAACCAAGGCAGTAAGATTAGCGGGTTGGGGCTGACAGCCCCACCTCCAGGGAGGGGAGAAGGGCTGAAGGTTAAGTTGGTCACCAGTGTCCAATTGTTTAATCAATCACTAGTATGCAAGGAAGCCTCCATAAAAACCCAAAGGACAGGGTTCAGAGAACTTCCCAGTAGAGAACCTGTGGCACACCATGGAAGGGCCGTGTGCCTTGCCTTTGACATCTCATCAACTGTATCCTTTGTAATATCTGTTACAAGAAACTGATCGAAGTGCTTCCTGGAGTTCTGTGAACTTCTCTAGCAAATTAACCAAACCCAAGGCATCACCCCAATTATAGCCGGTCACTCAGAAGCACAGTAAAATAACTGGGACTTGATCAGCGTCAGAAGGCCTGGGGACTGAGCCCTTAGCCCCTGGTGTCTGACACTGTCTCCAGGCAGACAGTGTCAGTTGAATTAGAGGACACACATCTAGTGTCAGCTGCAGAATTGCTTGCTCTTGTGATGTGTGGGGAAACCCCCAAAGTTGGTAACAGTCTTCTCTGTTGATCGAGGTGTGAGAGCAAAGGAAAGAACAGTTTGAGTTTTCCTCTCAATTTCCTTGATGGTTAATTATATTGCATGCTTTTCCATGTGCTTACTGATATCAGCCACTTTTCCATGTGCTTATTGGCCATTTGTATGGTTTTTTTTTGAAAGTAGGATTTATTAAGAAGACAGAAAAGCTCCCACAGCGGGGGTGGAGGGTGGCGGCAGGGGGAACTGAAAGAGGTTGCCCTCATTTGTGTATGTTCTTTTTTTTGTTTTTTTGAGTTGGAGTCTCACTCTGTCACCCAGACTGGAGTGCAGTGGCTGCTCCCAGCCACCGCAGCCTCAACCTGCTGGGCTCCGGCGATCCTTTCACCTCAGCCTTCCAAGTAGCCAGAACTACAGGCACGCGCTACCACGCCCGGTTAATTTTTTGATTTATTGTAGAGATGAGGTCTGGCCAAGTTGCCCAGGCGGGTCTTGAACCCGCGGGCTCAGGCAATCCACCCACCTCAGCGGGATTACAGGCTGAGCCACCGAGCCCAGCTTCTTTCCCATTTTTAAATGAATTTACTATGATCTTTTTATTACTGAGTTTCCGGAGTTCCTTATATCGTCTGGCTACATGCCCCTTATCAGGTAAATTATTTGCAAATGTTTTCTATTTTATGACCTGTGTTTTCCTTTCATTTGTGGGACAAAAGTTTTTTATTTTGATGAAGTCTGATATATTTCTTCCTTTGTCACTTGTGCTTTTGGTGTTACACGAGGAGGACCCCCCAAAAAAGTGAAAGTATTTTTTGGAGGGCAGTTCCCCTACGTAAGTGTTCTAGGAGCCCATCCGCATCAGAGTACCAGCTAGTATTGTTGCGAGAGGCTGCGTTTGGCTTCGGTGAATTTTTTTGGAGATTCTTTCCATGCATTTGCTTATTTCATCATGGACGATTCATGAGCACAGCTGCCCACACCACACCGAGTGTTCAGCAGTGTTTGACCCAAAGTGGCATGACCCCTGTGCCCTGCTTTCCCAGTTCATCTGATCTGACCCCAAGCAACTTTGTTTGTTGTTTCCCTGGATGAAAAACATCCTCAAAGGGTGCCAATGTGGAAGAAGCGAAACAAAAAATAACAGAAGGCTGGACATGGTGGCTCACACCTAATTTCTTTTAAGTCGAGATATGGTCTTGCTATGCTGCCCAGGTTTGTATGTGTGTGTGTGTGTGTGTATTTTATTGCTCTTTTACTTTCAACCTGTTTGTGTTACCTAATGCCAGCACTTTGGGAAGCTGAGGTGAGAGGATTGCCTGAGCCCAGGGGCTCCAGACCAGCCTGGGCAACTTGGCGAAACCTCGTTTCTACAATAAATCAAAAAATTAGCTGGGCGTGGTGGCACACGCTTGTGGTTTCAGCTACTTGGAAGGTTGAGGCAGAAAGATTGCCTGAGCCCAGCAGGTTGGGGCTGTAGTGACCAAGAGCGGGTCACTGCCCTCCAGCCTGAGTCACAGAATGAGACTCCAACTCAAACACAACAAACCAAAAAACATGGCAGAAGCACTAAAAGGCATCAAAATTGACAAGTTTAAAAACTGTTTTGAGCAGTGGGAAAAACATCTCAATAGGTATATTGCATCAAACAGAGAGTATTTTGAAGGTAACTAAAGTTTAAACATGTAAGAATAAATACACAATTTTTTTTTTTTTTTTTGAGTTGGAGTCTCACTCTGTCTCCCAGACTGGAGGGCAGGGGCCACTCCTGGCTACCGCAGCCTCGACCTGCTGGGCTCCGGTGATCCTTCCGCCTCAGCCTTCTGAGTATCTGGAATTACAGGCGCGCACTACCACGCCTGGCTGATTTTTGATTTATTGTAGAGATGACGTCTCGCCAAGTTGCCCAGGCGGGTCTGGAACCCGCAGGCTCAGGCAATCCACTCATCTCAGCCTCCCAAGGTGTGGGATTACTGGCTGAGTCACCGAGCCTGGCTACAATTTTTAATAAATTCTATTTTGGGGGGGATTCCCCCTCATATGTAAAGATTTGCTTGGCCCAAGATCATAAAATTTACTCCTATGTTTTCTTTTAAGAGTTTGATAATTTTGGCTCGTATTTAAGTTTTTAATCAGTTCTAAGACAACTCTTGTATATTGTGTGAGGGAGAGTCCAAATTCATTCTTTTGCATGTGAATATCCAGTTCTCCTAGCACCGGTTTTGTTTTTGTTGTTTTGTTTTGTTTTGGGGTTGGAGTCTCACTCTGTTGCCCAGGCTGGAGTGTAGTGGGACAATCATGACTTACTGCAGCCTTGACCTCCAGGGCTCAGGCGATCCTTCTGCCTCAGCCTCCTGAGTAGCTAGGGCTACAGGTGTGCACCTCCATGCCTGACTCATTTTTTATGCTAATTTTTGTTATGCTGCCCAGGCTGTTATGGTTGTTGTTGGTATGGTATATGTATATATTTATTTTTTCTTTTACTTTCAACCTGTTTGTATTACCTATAGACAGCATTAGTTGGGTCATGCGGTTTTTATCCAGTCCAACAAACCATACCCTTTGTGACATCAGAATTGATTGGATTGTTTAATCAATTAACATTTAATGTTATTATTAATATGGTTGGATTAACATCTGTGATCTTTTTTTTTTTTTTTTGAGTTAGAGT